TGTACAGGGTTTCTGAGGCTGTAAATCTTTACGGGAGCAGAAAGCCTCATCTTTCTCCTGTGGAACAGCTGGTAGTTTCGAACTGCTGACCTTGCGGTTTGCAGCCTTATTTGTAACCACTACGCTACCAGAACTCCTTAGTGGTCCTTTATAACAGAGAACTACCTCACCGGGTTTCTTAGGCTGTAATCATTGCCAAGTCTGTTCTACAAAGTGACTAGTGGATTTGAACTGCTGACCTTTTTGTTAGCATCTGAGTACATAACCATTGTGCTATCAGGGTTCCTTACATATTCTAGATACCAGTCTTCATCAGAACTGCAAATATTTTTCCCCAGTCTATGACTTATCTTCTTATTTTAACAGTGCCTTTTGAAGAGCAGAGGTTTTTTATTTGGAGGAAGTCTAATTTATTAATTTGTTCTTTTATGGATCATGCTTTTAGAGTAATTGCTAAGAAATTTTTGCCTAAGTTAAGATCTCAAATGTTTTCTTTTTCTCTTCGAAATGCTTTATAGTTTTAAGGTTTAGCAGTCACTTTGAGTTAATTTTTGTGTGTATAAACTTTTTTTAAATGTAGATATTCAGTTGTTCCATCCCTGTTGAAAAAACCCATTGTCTCCATTGATTTACACCTTTGTTGAAAATCAGTTGTCCATTTATGTGTATGTCTATTTCTGGACTCCATTTTGTTCCATTAATATATTTGTTTATACATATGCCAATACTTTATGGTTTAGATGACTGTCGCTTTGTATTATATCTTGAAATCAGTATTTAGTTCTCCAACTGTGTTCTTTTGTAAATTATTTTTCACCTCAATGTCTCTTCATTCAGCAAGTAGATATTGAGCCAAGCGGTATACACAGTAAGGTAAGTGAAAGCTATTCTTCTGGCTGAGAAAGTAGACAAATGCATGAATTAAACAAAAGGATTTCAGGTGCTAGAAGGACAATTAAACAGAGTAACGAGGTCTTTTTCTAAAAAGGACATGGTTAGTTTTGATAGGGCTCTTAGAAAGGTCTCTCGGAGATGATAGTAACATGAACAGAGACCAGAATGCTATAGTATTCTGAATTTTGTTTTGCTTAATTACTAGAATGATTCTTTTTGATTAGTGTGTTTAAGATTTAGACCTTTTTTTTATGCAGCTGTATGGCAATGTGGGACCTGGTGTGTTGCTGTAGGGTAGGTACTGACTTGCTAACTGCAAGTTTGGTAGTTCAAACCCACAAACTGCTCCTCGGAAATCCTATACAGGGTTGTTAATGAGTTGTAATTGACTCCACGGCACTTACCAGCAAGAGTAATGTGATAGTATGTGAAAGCATGTCTGTCCCTTGTTGTTGTGGTCCTTGAGTCAATTCTGGTTTGTAGCGCCCCTGTAGGACAAAGCAGAACTGCCCCATCTACTCTGTAATTTTTACAAAACTGGATTGCCAAGTCTTCTCTCCTGCGGAGAGGCTGGTGGGTTCAAACTGCCGGCGTTTCAGTGAGCAGCCAAACACTTAACCATTGCACCACTAGGGCTCCTTAGGTTTTAGATGTTTGTATGAATTCTATAATGAAAATGTTGGTATATTTAGTGTACTGGTTCCTGTCAATGTCACAGATAGGGAAACTGAGGCACTGAGCAGTTAATTAACTTTCTCCTAGACGATGTAACAGCGATAGTACTGAATTTTGGTTCTGAGAATGCTTATCTGCCCCACTCTGCCTGTTCTGCTGTCTAAACAGCTCAGATGCATACATCCTTTATATTTGCTTTTGTCCCTCTGATAGGTATGTGCCATTACTTGAACCTAGAGGGGTAGAACAGTTAGTGCGTTCTCAGGCTCTAGGCTTTTGGTTTATCTCTTCTTGCTGGGCAAGTACGTTTTGTCCCAGGCTCTCCCTGGTGGCCATGTTTGTTTATCTCCTGTGGGAATAAATAAACTTGCCTTGCTGAAAAATAACAGTTCCATGACTTTTCCAGTGGAAACTGAGATGTCTTATTAATGTTATGTCCAGATTTAAGGTCAGGTTT